TAATTTAAAAGAAGAAGCATGCATTTCGTAGCACACTTTCTGGTTCAGAGAGTCCGTTCAGTATCAGCGTGGCAATCTTTCTACATCATCAAGGGCATTCAGTATATCCTTTGGGCTCACTGAATAAACTAATCGGGAAACAGTTCCCATGACACTGTGGAGCCCTGTTAATGATCCGTTTCACATTTATTAGACACCGATAAAACAAACTAAGGCATTGCATACTTCTGCGCAGAATATTGCCATGTACTATTTCATTTTTCTGTAAATCTTCTGACTGCGTAACCATTTGTTCGTCTAGTTTTGTTCACCCTTAAGCACTTCCCGTTCTGTTCCGGTTAAATGCGTGTGATACCCACCTCCCAAACTCTATGTGGAATTGATTTTCCGTGAGTGTCTCACTACCATTTTGTATGTCCATGAGTCGCTTAGCAACCATATTGGGCTTTTTCATGTGTCCCTCTTGCTCAATGAGAATGACAATGTCTGGTGCATATCTCTTATCGGAATCGCGTTTTTGGTTATTCCTCATACCCATGGGATTGAACCAGATGGTGGAAATCCGACGGTTACATCATTCTTTTGACAATTCTGTTTTGTTCTTGCAAACTGAACTTCTCCGGTATCAGAGATTATCTAGTTAAAATTAGGTCTGGGCTTCGTCATCTTTATTGTGGGAAATTCAACGGGCTCTTTTCATCACGGCCAAGTCGTGGATTTATCTGTTTCACACAACCTGCTTCTCGTTAATTTTTATCAGCTTTTTTCTCAACTCCAAAATTTAGTTATGAAATACTACTGTTATAGCCGATCAGCAAACGGTCGAATTCACTTTCGGTTTTACGCAGCTTATTCTCACCTCTGGCAGTTTCGGTCAGACATGAAACTCACTTGTTTCTATCTTTGTTTCTAGCTATCCAAAATGTTAAAAGGCATCCAGTTTGTATAGTCGCGTATGATCAAATTGAAGTTGTCACAATTCTCATCTTAAACTACTTCCATACCATTCACAATACTGATTTTATTACTAATCTGTTTTACTGTCTTTTTCACTATCACAGCCATTTTATGGTGGCTTATATGCTACACGTTAGGCTCGTGGGGGGATGACGTTTACCTACAATAAATATTCTCGAAAATGTTTTTCACTTTGACATCACATCGTAACTGGCAAGCACTGGTGATCTATTCTGGTTTTTGTAACACACATCAGCAGAAATTGAAATGGTGGTGCTTCAGTTCAGGGCTGGAATGAATAGTTCCCCTAACTAAAATCAAAATTTCTTCACTATTTGGATTTTTCCTTCAACCGTTCTCCAAATATATATATATATATATACCTATATATATATGTGTGTGTATGTGTGTGTGTATTCATATCCCTGAGGCAGTGTAATAAAAAAAACAGAATAATCTTATTACGATAGGTCGAAATACCAGTGTTTTGACTGTTCGTTTTGGACTACTGATCCGTCCATAGTGAGTATGTATAATTTTAATCCTCATTTTATCTGCCATAGTTAAAAACCAATATATTGACTTAGGCTTTTTATACTGCAACTGTTTTGGTACCTCAGAGATACCGATACACAAATTTTCTACTTTATTTGTTAGCTGGTAAATTATCGACAGCAAAGAACGAGGTTTGGAGATATTTGCTCGATCGGAAAATGTATATTCCTACGTTTAGCATCGTACTTAATTTGAGTTCTATAATTCGTCGGACGTTTTGTACTCCGAAACTCGTTAGATTTTCAAGGTCTAAATAGATCCATTGGGTTGTAGAAACAGTTTCATTTTGCACATCCATTGACCTACCGTTCAGTCAAATGGGAGAAGTAAATTAAAAACTGAGGACAATATCGAGATAAATAAGCAGAATGTAATAAAACCAAACCCACTTGTACATGAACGCCACGATTTACGACACTCGGCTGTTATACACTGTTTCTATGCTTTGGTTTAATTACTCATACAATCATCAGCCAGGAAATCGATGGTGACCTGCATGGCTTACTCCATTGTCCGAGGTCATCATGCTTTCACATCACTTCGTGGTCTCACCCCTAATCAGTACCCGTTTTGGAAAATACCACACGTCAACAAAAGTGGTCAAATCACCTGTGGAACCTGCCTCATCCACTACGATCCGTGAAATTTAATCTAGAACGTAACGGCGA